TAAGACAATGAATATCCATATAAGGCAAGCTGTCGGGAGATATACGGCAAAAAAGGAATTACTGAATATAGTCCTATAACTGCATCCAAATGCTCAAACATGTTCTTCAAGGTGCGATGAATGGAGAAATCCTCCTCAGTGAGTGCGAACGTCTTACCTAACCAAATCCATAAGAAAGATCTAAAGAATATGAAACAAACTACAGAGGAAATAGCAGTTATTGGATCTATTAGTTGAGACTGTATAGCAAATAATACGAAATAAAAATAGAAGAAGAGATAAAAGGAAAAATAGGAGGGAGAGGACAATGTGGTTTTGCTGCCGGCACAGGTCGGTCATAGACAATTATATTTACATTAAATATAACTTATGAAAGAGAACAGGAGAGTAGGGAAGTTCATCTGGTTTCATTGATCTTCAAGAAGGCGTTATGACAATGTACCTGTGAGGTTGCTAAGTATGGAAGAAATGGATAGGACTTCAAATCAGTGAAAAACTTAATTGGAGCCACACAGAAACTATAATAAGAATAACACCTCTCAGATTAAGATCTACACAGGCTCTCGGATATCCATTCCCAGTCAGCAAAGGTCTGCGACAGGGTTGCTGTCTTTCTCCAACACTGTTTAAAATATATCTGCATCAATATTTGCAGCAGTGGGAGAAACAATGCAGAGGTAATGGGAATGAGACGACTCGGAGAGGATTAATTGTTTACGTTATATTTTGCCGATGACCAGATAGTAATTGCAGAAGATGCTGATGATTTGAGTGTTCATGATCCGTAAACTCAATGACACTTTTTAAAGCAGGACGTAAAATATAATATGACAAATCTGAATCCTGGCAGTTGGTAAAAATGAAATAGAATATCTTCTTGTGGAATAAGGGAGAAAAATGAAAGGGGTAAACAAATATAAATACCTTGGTGTACTTTTAACAATAAGGAAATAGCCATGACGAAATTGAGAGACGAATAAGCTTGGGGAGAAACGGTGACACGAAGTATAAACTCTGTCTTATGAAACAAAACCATCAGCTAACACTACTAAAGACGTCTTTACTTCTCGCTCGCTAGTTAAGAGTTGTTACATCATTACGGGTTCAGAAGTCTGGGAGATCGTATAAAGAACAAAGGGGAAGCTGCTGGCCTTGAAATGGAACTACTGGCGTAGAAGCTGCTGTTATAGCAGACGTGACAGAATTCAGGAACGATGATATAAGAAATAAAATGGATGTCAAGAAATTCTATCCTTGACGAAATAGAGAAAAAAACAATCGTCTGGTACGGCGCATGTTATGCGAATGACAGACGAAAGATGCCAAACGAGTCCTGAAAGTGGTGCCGACAGAAAGCCATAAGAGAGGAAGAACCCATGACTTGCATGGGCTACCAGGAAGTGCAAGGAGCTATGACGGGCAAGGATAATGATGCAGTATGAACTATAGTCGCTAATAGAGAGGCATGAGAACTGAGAGCGGGAGAACGGCGGACAGTCTCCATTTACACAACATTTTAGTATATATATTATTATATATACTATATATATATATATATAATTATATTATAGTATATATATATATATTATATTACTATATATATATATATTATTAGATGATAGGCTTATGCATTTTCCAGTATATCCACCATTCATGGAATGAATAAAAAAGAAGAATAAAATGGAAATATAAAATAAAAAAACCAGCACACCTTTTTCTTTTTAATTTCATTTTTTTAGGCTTTGATTAGTTTTGTGCTCCATGTG